AGCTATTGGCACCTTGCCTCAGTCCCATCAACCTTGGATAAATGTGATTCTACACGCACTGACTGGTGATCTCCCTGCGTTGCATTCCCCTTTCTTAGTATCAGACTGTAGCTACATGAGTCTGCAGAAGGCTCCAGGTCAGACCCATGAACTTGAGTTGGACTGGGCAGAACACCTTCTGGATATAAAATTATTTTTTGATAAAAAGTTCTTTCTTATACACAAATTACTGTCACTGGTTTTGTTTCTCTAAACAAACCAGCCTAACACACCACCCAATAACAATATCAACAATTTCCTAAATTGAACTTAACAGGAAAAAAAATAGAATATTTTAAATGGACAAAAAATTAGCACAAGCATTACATAAGAAAGGTATTAAAATGGACAATAAAGCACTTATAAATGCTCCACTTTAGTTATAATTTTAGAAGTATAAATCAGTTTGAAAAGTATTAAAAAGTCTGACAACTTACAGTACTGGCAAGGATATAAAGAAATGAATACTCTTCTATATTACTGATGGGAATGGAAATTGATATGAATCCAGGAGGTTAATTTATAATATACATCAAGTAAGAAAATGCACATATCTTTTGGTTTGGCTTAAATAAATATGCAAAAAATATGCATTTTAAGGATTTTCTCAATAGCATCATTATTTGAAATTAAAAAATAATAATAATAAACCTGGAGGCCAATGGCTATCAACAGCAAAGAATGAAGGTTCCCTAACCGGAGCTAAAAATGTTGTTGCTGTTGTTGTTGTTAGGTGCCACTGCACTGGTTTGGACTCAGAGCAACCTTACATACAACAGAACTAAACACTGCCTGGCTCTGTGCCATGCTCGCAGTTGGCCCCATGCCTGAGCCTATTTGTTGCAGCCGCCTGTGCCAATTCATCTCACTGGGGACCTTCCTCTTCATCTCAGGCCCTTGACTTGACCAAGTATGACGTCTATATTAGGTGAGGTTGACGAAAAAAAACAAACTCAGTGACACATAAGTATCAGAAAGGGCTTTATATTGAGAAGTAATTATATGTGAAAGAAAGTGCCCCAGGCCCAATCCAACTCAAGTCTCTAAGTCCGATACTAGTGCATAAGTCCCTCTTGAGAGTGATGGAGCCACAGGCAATGATACAGAATGCAGGAAGATCACAGGCCAGTGAGTGAGGCCATGTGAAACCAAGGCCAGTGGAAACATGGCAGGGTTCAGACAGCTCTCAGGGTCAGTAGCCAAATCCAAGCAGGCAGAAAGGCAAAATGTCAGGGAGAGGAGGAGGGTGCCAGGGTCCACCTTATGAGGAGGACACGCACCTGAGGAGATAGCATCAGGCTGTGACATGATTGACAGATGATTCTACCTGTAGCCAGGAGTGTATAGTTGACATAAAATCACCTAACTTAATACAATGTCCTTCTCCAGGGATTGGTCTCTACTGACAACATGTTCAAAGTATGTAAGATAACGTCTTGCCATCCCTGCCTCTAAAGAGCAGAATTAATTTACAGTCATAATAAAAACTACTACTTTTCATATACTTTTCCATACACAGAAGGATTTTCACATGTATTATGTTATTCAATATGCATAAAGCTAAGAAAATTATTTTATAATTATCATTAATTTACTAGATAGAAAACAAAAGGAAGCAGGAAGTATTAACTTAAGTTACACTGCTAAGCACAAAAAATAAATAAACAAACAGCATATAATATGTTTAAAGGAGGGGAGGGAAAAACACAAATGTGACTATAGACACTGAAAATTTCTGAAAAATTCGTCAGAAATTGATAATGGCCACTAAAATAGGGGGCCCCAAAACAGACTTTAGCTGTTCAGTTTGTATCCTTCCTCACTGGAATTTTTAAAGTCATGAGCATGGATTATTTTTATAACTTACTTATTAAACATAAGCACTAATATTTTATACAAAACAGATCCAGAGACTCAAATGGAATCTAACACTTCTTCTCTCTCTCTATTGGCAAAACCTTTCTCAATCATTTTATAAGACCAAAGTGCACTTCACTTAGATCTCATCATTTAGTTATGATTATAAATTTATTAAAAATGAAGAAAACTAGATTGTTTTTATTTGAATTACATAGGATTGAAAGAAATGTACTTTTATTAAGTCACTTGACCTGAGTCAAATTACACAATTTTCCACTTTAAAAAGTACAATTTATTCAAGTTCACCATGCTAAATCTTAGTTAACGTATAAAATCTTAAGCAAAATACTAAAAGTGCCTGTGTTGTCAAATGCTCAGAAGCATTTTTTACTATATTTTTCATCTGGGACCCAAATTACTAATAAACCTGGTTAAGGGTTTCCAAGAGCAAACCAAAAAACACACTGTCATCAAGTCCTTTCCAATTCATCTCAACCTTATAGGACAGAGTAGAACTGCCCCCTATGGGTTTTTGAGACTATAAGTCTTTATGGGAGTAGAAAGTTTCATCTTTCTCCCATGGTGGTTTTGAACTGCTTACCTTGCTGTTTGCAGCCCAATTCACCACCACGACCCCATTCCCGAACGAGGTAGGTTTTAATGTAAATGTAGAATAAGCTAAGTTCTAAAGGATGAGCCCTTTTGGTAACTGATGGCCTGCACAAGAGAGAATTACTCATAGAAAGACTTGTAAGGAAGTTTCAATACCCTCCTATCAAAAAAAGCCCACTGCCACCTACTGGATTCTGCCTTACGACAATCCTATATGGGAGAAGGACTATTAATCTTGGAACAGACCAACCAAACCAAACTCACTGCCACTGAGTAAATGCTGACTCATAGGGACCCCTTTGTGGGTTTCTGAGAGTGTGATTGTTTACAGGAATAGAAAACCCAGTCTTTCTCCCGCGGAGCTGCTCATCATTTCCAACTGCTGACCGTGCAGATCACAGCCCAATGCATAACCGCTATACCACCAATCTGCTATGGGAACAGATAGCCTCATCTTTTTCTCCTGAGCAACTGGTGAGTTTGAACTGCCAACCTTGTAATCAGTAACTGCCAAACATTTAACCCACAGTAACATCAAGGTTTGAAAAAGTAAAATAATTCTCTCAGTTGGTGAATTGATATCTGGCTCCTGATACTAACCCAAACCAAACTCATTTCCATCCAGTGGATTCCAACTCATAGCAACCCTATAGGACAGAGTAGAAATGGTTCCTGCCGTTTTCAGATACTGAATTTACTCCTGTAAACAGGAGTAGAAAGCCTCATTTTCCTCCAGCCAAGTAGCTGGTGGGTTTGAACTGCTAAATTTGTGCTTAACAGCCAACAAGTTGTCTACTATGCTACCAGGATTTCTTCAGCCCCTAAAAGAATTCTCCAGTTTTTACTAATAGTTGGAAACATGGCTCCCTATCTCAAGGAGCTTTATTCAATTCTTTCACCTCTTGTGAAGAGTAGTATATAGAAGGTGAGTTCTCTTGGTAAACAAGAAAATGGCCATGAATCTATGTCATACTGTTTTATTTAACTGCCATATAATTATATTTATTAAAAATAATTATGGTAGTCATAATCATTATTTGGTTTTAACAACCTGTAAATGATTATAGTCTTTTATGGAATTATTATCAATTTTACAAGACCTCACACATTCAAAAAATCGACTTTGGGCCTTAGAAAAGCTATAATCTTATGCATATTTATCCTACACTTTTAGTTAAACTGCTCTGTCTCCTTCACATTTGCACTCTCTTCTTACAAGAGGTGTTCCCCAGTTTTCTTCTCTTTCCAGCATGACTTGCAGGCTTGGGGCAAGAGATGTTCATTGTTCCCCTTCTTTATTCACAAAAATCACTTTCTTTTCCTTACTCTTTGAATCTATCCTTTACTTCCTTGTCCTGTCTTTCAATATACTCTTAAATACTTTTTTCCCCCATTAAGTAAAGATTATTGTATCTTCTAATCATATAGTCGAACTACTATGAAATATTTTCCAAACAGGGAAATAAAACTGATTATACCTAATCATATTATGGGAATAAACAGCAAAAATTTATGAATACAGATAGATAGTAATTTACACAAACAAAAAAGACAGCAGATACAAAATGGACTAACATGCAAACTTCACTAATAATCAAAGCAATGTAAATTAAAATAAAACTTCACCTACTACCTAGCAGTTAATAAAATAAAACACTGAAAATATAGATGACTTGAGTTTAGAAAAAGAGTACAGCCTTTTCAGAGGGCAATTATGATCCATGACTTCACATCCTAATGTCTAGCAATTGATTTTTAAAAGAAATCAAGTTCTCAAAGCTAAGGCCATTTTTACAACCCTTTTAAAAATAACTAAAATTTAAAACATAAATGCCCAGGCACTTGAGATTAGGGCACATTCATAAAACAGGAAACTACGCAGCTTTTGTCAAGAATAAGAATTTCTGGCAGGGAAAGATCACAAAGATACACTACTGAGTGGGGGAAAAGAGAGAGAGAGAATACACTGCTAATGGGTTGCAAAATAGCAGGTATAACATAATCCCACTTACATAAAATCATATAACAAAATGGCATGTTTCGATATAGAGAAGGGATCAGAAAAGCAGTCACTGAATGTGGACTCTGAGATGTGGGACTTGGACATTTTCTGTTTCGCCACACCTCCAGTGAGGTATGCGCACTCCAGTTCTCCAGTGAAGTAAAGTGCATAATGAAAGTTAAACCCTGTCTTCTTTTAAATTTCCTATATAATTTGAATTTTCTATAATGATAATATCTTTTTATAAACAATTTAAGAGATTTTAAATATTGAAGTAGAGATTATAAGAGTGCAGATAATATAATTACTAGTTTCCAGCATTAAAATAAAAGAATTCTACATTTTATAAAATGCTTGCTTTAAATAGTAGCACCTTAATTTCTTTAAGAATTTCTATTATAAGATATAAGGAAATTAACTTTTGTTGTTAAAAAGATTCACACAAAATTCATACATACATAATATGTGAACAGACAGACATACTTACCAATACAGCCCAGTTGTTTGTATGGCCACTTCTAAAGAATTGTTCTGCTTGATCCTGTTAGTCAGAAAACAATAAAAGCAATAAATGACAGGAAAAATAACAGTAAAAGGAAAAAAAGCAAGAAGAAAAAACTATTATTTCCCAAGATGCAGAATTTTAAAGGACAGCTAAGATTTATGGTGCTGTTTTCAGTAGTGATAATAATAATTTATCATTATGTATATTTATGGCAGTCTCAGGCCAAAGAAATAAAAACAATATCAAGAGAAGTTAATAGTTTAAGATACCAGAGGAGGAAAGGGTCCTAAACTGGAACTCTGGAGATGCAGAGTCCCACCTTATCCTGGACACTGATTTGACAGCATGACTCTGAGCAAGATCCTTAACCTCTTTGAGACTCAGTGTCTTAATATGCAAAATGAAAGCAATGCTAACCCTTATCACGGAGCTATTTTGAGAGGACTATAAAGATGTATGTGTAAAAGCTTCTGCTTTGAAAAATTAAGCAGTGTTCAAATAAAAGCTGTATTTTATATATAGCTCACATCTTAATATTTGACAACTACAAAGAAAGTAGAACGTTCAATAAAGAACACAGAATTTAACACATTTAACCAGCGTGTTACTTTAAAACTGCAACCTCATAACAAAATTTTCCTGTGACTTATTTTCCATTTGTGTGTATGACTTTCGTAACATATATCATTCTTATTTATTATGTCTTGTTGCCTTTGCCCAGTAAGATATAAAAACTCAAGTTTCATTCACACTGACTTAACCCAAATAAGTATGGTACATAGATTTCAAATAAATATTTCTGAATTGAATGCATGATTCTAATACCCTTACTAGTAGTAAGCAAAGTAAGACCAAGTCCTAAAAAAAACGGAAACCACATAGATAAGGGTTCCAACATAAGGTAAGAAGGTATTATATAAAGATGGTACCATAAAGCTATAAATTTCAAAAATCATTTTTAGTATACTGTAACTACTCCTTTATTCATCACTTTGATGCATATACAAGGAACTTCTAAACGACTGATATTTCACTTTAAGTAATAATCTAAAGTGTTTTTATACCCATAAATTTATTATGGTGTAACAATCTCCCTACATCCTTAACCAAAACAAAAAAGCATTCCTTTTCAAAATTTCTCATATACTTTTTAACATTTGTTAATCATTTAATGATCATTTCTATTGATTCTCTAAAATCTCATAGCTTATCTCTTATTCTTTAGTATTAGTGACACAAGCAAACATTAATGATCAGACAAATGTGTTGAATCATAGATATTAACAAGTTCTATTTTTGTTGAGGAGAATTATGGATGTTTAATTAGGGTTTCTTCCTATGCTTCTAAAATTCCAGAGTTCTAATTGTGAATGCCTTATTGAATGTTTTGATTCTATATAAAACAATATTCCTCCTGTTGAAATTTCACTCAATGTTCATCTCTACTAATGTTCTAGGTGCTTTCCATTAATTTACTTGAACTCACCACTGTGTTCAACTGGGCAGTCTCTATCATACATCCATATGCCATTTAACTATTCTATTGAAATAATTCTAAATTGAAATTGCCATGTGTGGAGCCCTAAAATACCTCCACCAAATCCAATGTCATCCTGAAACCTAATGAGATTATTTAATTATTAGAGTGGCAGTGAATATAAGCTATACTGACTCCAGATCTGCTCGCACACAGTATCAATTGCTAGAATAATCAGAGTAAAACCAAGCCTGTTGCTGCCCAGTTGATTCCAAGACCTTACAAGCCACTAATGGATAAATTGGCAGTTTGAACCCACTGGCTATTTGGAGGGAAAAGGATGTGGTGGTCGGCTTCTATATTGATTAGTCTTGGAAACCCTGTGGAGCCATCCTATCGTGCCCTACTGAGTCACTAAGGGTCAGCTATTCCAATGTCCTACCTATATTACTTACTAAGAAATTATTTCATCTCTCTGGGCCTCTATTTCCTCATCTATAAAATGGTAATAATAATGCCTGGCTCACAAGACAAATGTCAAATCCATTGCCATACAGTGCGATTGATAGTGACCCCATGTGTTACAGAGGAGAACTACTTCATAGGACGCTATTGGCTGTAATTTTCATGGAAGCAGATCTGCAGGCCTATCTTCTAAATGCTGCTGGATGGGTTCGCACCTCCAAACCATAGGCCAGTAGTCATGCACAAACCCTTTGCATCTCGCCGGGACCTTTGACAAAAGTTACCTATCAGAATTTTCAGCTGACAAGAAAAGTTCAGGAATAATGAAATTCTAAAAATATTACTTAAGTCTAAAACTAAACCCACTGCTACCAAGTTAACACCAACTCATTGCCACATTCTTCTTCAGAGTAGCTGCTGAGTTCAAACCGATGATCTTTGGTGAACAGCCAGCCAAGTGCTTTCACTGCTGTACCACTAGAATACGTACACATGTAAATACAATCAAACTCTCTCAACAGCATCCTGGATGCTGAACAAACCCATTGTGATATAGTGGATAGAGCATCGATTTGGGAGTTTCAGCCCAGGCCCTAAATCTCCAGCTGGCTGTAAATTTGGGACAAGTCGTGTAGCTCTTCAGACTTGACTTTCCCTATGATTAAAATTGAGAATCACCCCCAATGAATCTCCAATGTCTTCCAGTTCCAAAATCTTTGTAGCACCAAGACTTCAGTAAAAGTGGTTGCCTACAGAACTCAAAATCATGAGACCAGACTTACTAGTCTGACAAAGACAGGTGAAACCCCCAAGACTATGGCCCACGGATACCCTTTAAACCTATAGCTGAACTAACCCATTATTAGATTAATCAACCATTGAAGAAATGAAAAGAGCAGAATTTACCCAAAAACAAAGTTCATAGAGTTAGGAAAGAAGGAAGAATGAAAACAGTATACACAGAGACAACATAAAATAAGTGACAATACATTGAGGGGATTCCAGTGGATGAGTAGAAACAAAATACATATGAATTATTCAATGTAGCACTCTAAAACTGTTGATAATCTACTCTGTAAATCTTTACCCAATTCACAATGAAGTTTTTAAAAGAAAACTGTTTCAACATTAAAAAATAAAGGTAAACCAGCTCCAATGGGTCATTTCTGACTCATGGTGACCTTGTGTGTGTGTCATAGAACTATACTTCATAGGGTTTTTGATGATTGATTTTGGGAAGTAGACTGCACGGTCTTTTTTCCAGTAATCCTCTGTGTGGACTCAAACTAGAAGTCTTTCAGTTGGCAGGTGAGTGCAACTGTACCACCCAGGAACAACGTCTTACACAATAATTGCTGAAAAGTTACCCATTCACTCTACCTATAGTGAACAGAGCTCTTATTTACAGGCCAAAAACCATGTAAACAAGGGTGATTTTCTAAAATCACTGAAAAGCATCATGTGTTCCCCCGGACAATTCCAGAGTTGAGATGACAAGCATGTAAACACATTACACTTCAATGAAATACTCATTCACTCATTGGGTGTTGGGTGTCAGGCCCTAGTCGTGGCTCTGAGCAAAAAAAAAGTCAAAATCATTGCCTTCAAATGTACAAATGGATAGGCATACACTAAGCACTAGGCAAACTATAAAGTATGTGACAGAAAAACTCACAGTATAACGAAAATGTGTAATGGAAGAAGCCAATCTGGTCTAAAGGAATCAAGGAAGGTTTCCCGTGAGAAGATAACAGTTAGATCCCAAAGATGAAGAGCAGCAGGAGGACAATTCCAAAAGGAAAGAGCATATAGTCCCTTATGGCAGGAGGGAGCACGGTTTTGAGACAGGTAAAGACCTGGCAATCTGCTCCTGTATAGATTTGTGGCTTTATGAAATGCTATGATACAACAACATACTAAGTAAATGTAAAAAGGACAACAGTAAGGGCAAAGGTCGGGGGTTAGAAAAGTCCTACAGTGTTTCTGCTTTCCCTGCATCTGAGTAAATGAACAGAGGCAACAGGAGATCTAAAATACGGGAATGCAAGACAGCACAGCAAGTGTGTGAAACATGCAAGGTAAGTAAGATAAGGAAAGAAAATAGCACAGCTCCAATCATCTTAATTTTTATCTTTTAAAAGGATTTGTATATATGAAGTATATAAACTAAGGAGCACTGGTGGTGTAGTAAATACCCAATGGGCAGCTAACCTCAAAGCTGGCAGTTCAAAAGTACCAGCCATTCTGGGGGAGAAAAATACAGCTTTCTACTCCAGTGGAAAGTTAATCTCAGAAACCCACACAGGCAGTTCTAACCTGTTCTACGGATTCACTCACCATGATTGGGACCGATTCGATGGCAGTGGGTTTATTTTGCTTTTTTTTTTTCCTAAGTATATAAACTAATAATAATTTAAGAGTATATATATAGAGAACGGGTACTATCCTTTTTAACTGTCAGAGATAGAGGGAATGCCCAAGCCATGTGGAGTCTAAGCTCAAAGTGCTGGGGAAGCAAGGAAGTGATGGGCAAAGGCGCTGACCAAGGTGAGACACTGGAAAGACAGGCAGGGACTGAAATGATTCAGCAGATAATAACTTGATCAGGTTTACATTTTACGAAGACCAATTTAGCATCAACATGGGGAAAACTGGGAGCTTGGGGCAAAATGAGATAAAGCTATATCGATACTCTAGGCCGGAAATGCCCAGGGCCTGAATGAAGCCAGTGGAACTATAGAGAGACATGCAATTTTAAGAGTTTAAAACTAAATTCTGTATTCTGGTTATACTGTAAGGTAGAGTGAGTTCATTAAATGTCGCAGTGAGTTCCAGCTTAGGAAACAACAAGCAATACTGCTTTAGAAAATACAGGGAAAGGGGTGCTGAGGTTTGGGGGTGGGGTGGTGGTGTGTGTTTGTTTAAGAGGAAATGGCATAAGCACACGATAATACTTTATACACAAATGTTCCAGTCCTTTGGGCCATCCTGATTAAAGGTACAGATTGCAAAAATGGCCTGAAGCTTATTCAGAGTAGTCGCAATAATAATTAAAAGCTTGACGGTGGTTCAGAACGTCCTGTTACTACGTCGGTTAAAGGGGAGGGGGCGGGTGAGGCAGAGCCCCTCGTCATCAAAGGGGAAAGCTGCCGTTCGGTAGTAGGAAAGCAGCCCGACCACGACCGCCTCTTCGCAGGTACGCCCTCCTAGAGCCGCACACTTCGGCCCCGTCCAGCCCGGCGAGAAGACGACTCGGCAGCAGCCAGGGCACTCAGCCTCGACACGGCCGCCCCCCGGCCGGGCGCTGACAGGCACCTGGCTCCTACCTCGATGTGACTAGCGGCCAAGCTGCCGACGGACAACAGCAACAGCCCCGCCAGGGTAGTCTTAGCGCGCTCCGTAGTGTGGGGAGCGGCCATGTTTACCGGCTTCAGACTTCCCGCACCCGAAGAGGCGGAGCCTATGCCGTAAAGCAGCGCGGAGGCGTTTTTGCGACGCCAACGCAACCTTTTTCGGAGCCGCACGACACCCACGTTAGGGTTTCTGTTTCTGCGAGTTTGCGTACCTCAGGGACCCGGATAAGACACTTGATTTGTCTTTAATCGCGGTTTCAGTTTTAGTCTTGTAAAATAGGTCTAATACTTAAGGAAATTTTGGAAAGTGAGGAGGAGATCCCATAAACTTTGGAAGTTTTTCGTTTGGTGTTTTTTTTTGTTTGTTTGCTTTGGTTTTTCGTAGTACTGCCAGTTGTATACGTGAAGCACGGTCTGGTGGGAAAGGCAAACATTTTGACAACTACTAAGAGATCATTTGTGTAAAATGTTAAAAAGTTGGGTTGGAGCTGCAACAAAATGCATGATGTGGGGAGAAAAGGGGAACCAATCACAAGAATCTACGTAACTCCCTCCTAGGGGGACAGACAACAGAAAAGTGGGTGAAGGGACACAGCGGTCAGTGTAAGACATGAAAAAATGATAATTTATAAATTATCAAGGGTTCATGAGGGAGGGGGAAAATGAGCTGATAACAAGGGCTTAAGTACAAAGAAAATATTTTTTAAATGACGATGGCAACATAATGTATACATGTGCTTGACACGATGGATGGATCGATTGTGGTAAGAGTTGTACGAGCACCCAATAAAATGATTTTTTTTAAAGCATTTTGCCTAACACCTATTAAAAGAATGAGCTTAGAAGAAATTAGCGAAATTTTGGTTTCCTTGGTTTCTTATGTAGTTATGAAGCTAAACCATTTCGCAGAGACAGTCTGAGGATTTAATAAAATCAGATGTATGAAAAACTCCAGGCAAGTGGTAAACCATATTATGCATTCAGTTTTAAATTCTACTTTTGCCTAACATGATATGAGGATTTCCCCATGCTGCTTCATAATTTCACAAAAGAGTCTGGTTGGAATTAAAGGTAAAGTACTTTTTATGGAGAGTCGAGGCAATTTGTAAATTGGGATTCACTAGGTCCAGAATATTCTGAACTAAATGATCCAAGAAGACAATATGGATGATTTTCATAAGAAAATAAAAGGAACTTCAATCAAGATTCTCAGATTGCTTGACATTTCAAATAAAATGCATTGCCTTTAGGTGGATCCTGACTCATAATGGGACAGAATAAAACTGCTTCCTAGGGTTTTTGAAAAGATACAGTAAATAAATCTCTATCAGAGTAAACAGCTTCCTCCTTATTCCACAGAGTAGCTGGTTAGTTTGAACCACTGACTTTGCACTTAATAACCCAATGCTTCATCCACTGCACCACCAGGTCTCCTAGTTGACTTTTAAGATAATAGTTTCTAAATTGAGTGAGCTTACCTCTGATTGGTAGGAGATTCCATACCTTTTAGACATTTATTTAAATTACAAGTAATCATTAAATTGGATACATCTGGCTTCAAAACAAATCAGGAGACCAACCTTGTGTGACTGCAGAAAGCCATGGAAACTTCTAAGGTTTATTTTGAGTGGTGTCCGTTCTTAGAATTGTTTGGGACCTGCAGAGATAATAACATGCACAAAAACAAGACAGAGCAAAACCAAGCAACAAAAGAAAACAAAACAACAACAAGCCAATAACAACAAAACACAAGAAAGAAAAGCTTGTAGTTAGTTCAAGGACTGTTTGTTTATATATGAGGATGTGAGATCTATGTATGTGTATATATGCATATATGTATAG